TAATCTATCTAATCTAATCCATCTGGTCTACTGAGTCTATCTAGAGAGATTTATTTCAAGTATTGAGAATTGGCTCACTCGATTGTGGGTGCTGGCAAGTCCAAAATCTGTAGAAGCGGGCCAGCAGGCTGGGCATTCAGGTAAGAGCTGATGGTGCAGCCGTGAGCCCAGAATCTGCAGGGCAGGCAGGATTTCCGTGTTGCTGCTGCCTTGAGGCAGAACTTACGCTGTACGCCTCATACAGAAGGGCATGAGGGATGGAAGGAAGGAGCACCTGTCGGGGGTGATGGGCGCCCAGGCTCTGGGTCCGACGGTCTGCGTTGAATATGAGTTCTGTCGCCTTCTAGCTGTGTGACTTCAGCTATGTTGCTTAACCCTTCTGGGCCTCAATTTCCTTATTTTAAAAACGGCAATAATGTTACCTACTTTATAGGAATTTCGTGCAGATCAAATCTGTATAAAGTACTTAGAATCTTGTCTGGCACACGATAAGCATTCCATAAATGTTAACAACTATTATGATTATTATTTTCCAAACCCAAACCAACACAGTATCCCACTCAGTGCAGGGAAAAGTATACCCATGATTATTTAATTTTCCTCTGAAAGTTTTAGCCACGAGACAGGAACAGAAGACAAGGACATATTAACTACAAAAGTGGGGATAAGATGACTATTTTTAAATAGGTGATATGAGTATCTCCCTAAAAGAAGCCAAAAACTTCAGCTGAAAGATTTTTAGAATCACTTAATAACAGTGAGATGGCCACCTACAATGGGAATACATAAAGATCAACTTTTCTCCAACATATCATTAAAGCTATACATTTAAAGGGGTTTTATGATGAGTATCCTCGATACATTGATATTTGATATCAATTAAGTCTTAGGATAAACTTTATTTGATCCTGTTATATTATTTTCATAATTTGGTTTGCCAATATTTTCTTAGATATTTGCATGTCAATTTTTTATGTGTGTCCTCTTTGTTAAATTTTAGTATTGAGGTTCAACCACTAAAAAAAAAAAAAAAAAAAAAAAAAAAAAAAAAAGCAGAGGTGCTTTGGATTGGATTGGCCAAGAAGTTTATTATGTTTTTTTCTATAAAATAAAAGACACATTTTTCATTTTCACCAATAACTTTATTGCTTTGGATAGCTTGAGTATGTCGACTATGTCCCGCTATTGGCTTCTAGTGGGTAGAGGCCAGGGGTGCTGCTAAACATCTTTCAATGCATCAGACAGTCCCCAGCAAAGAATTATTTGGCCAAAACGCCAATAGTACCAAAAAACTTTGCAAACCGCTTTTGACACGTTTGATCAATCATAGCACCTTCTCCATACACTGCACAAATTTTTTTTTTGCATTTCAGTTCTATTTTTGCCTTTCTTGAAATAATAAAGCATAATATGCTGAAAATGTTGTGTATCTTCTTCCATATTCAATATTAAAATGGCTACACAAAAATTCACCATTTCAAAAAAAATTTTATTGTGTTTTTCCATTACCATTTAGTCCCCTTTACCCCATCCTCCACAATCACCACACTGTTGTCCATGCGGCCTTTTTTCCTTTTTGCTCAGTCCTTTCACCCCCTACCTTCCCCCTTGCCTCCTTAGCTGTCATCCTGCTTTCTGTGAGTCTGTCTCTATTTTGCCTGTTAGTTCAGTTTGTTCATTAGATGCCACATATGAGTGGAATCATAGGGTACTTGTCTTTCTCTGATTGGCTTACTTCACTTAGCATAGGGTTCTCCAGGTCCATCCATGCTGTTGCAAAGAGTAAAATTTTCTTCTTTATGGCCAAGTAGTATTTCATTGTGTAAATCTCTCATAGTTGATGTGTTCACTTATTTACTGATGGACACTTGGGTTGCTTCCGTATCTTGGCGATTATAAATAATGCTGCCATGAATACAGGAGTGCATATGTTCTTTTGAGTTAGTGTTTTGGGTTCCTTTGGATCCAGAAGTGGCATGGCTGGGTCAAAAGGCAGATTCATTTTTAATTTTTGAGGTATCTCCATACTACTTTCCACCATGGCTGCACCCATCTGCATGCCCCCAAAGTCACCAATTTTGATAAGTTTTTTCTAAATGTACACTGTATTCTAACAAAATTGTTTCAAATGAAGTTAAAAACAACTAAGCACTACCAGAACCATGGCACAGAAAAAACGTGACAGACATTTTGGCCAACCCAAATACCCTCCGTGAGTCCTGGAGCAGGTTGTAGCGAGGCAGTTGTAGAGCAAAAGGCCGGATGCTGCTGGTGGACTGTGGAGTCAGACGCTCTGTTTTCAGGCCTGATTCCATTCCCGCCAGCCCTCTGACTTTATGGAGGTTATGCCATTTCTACAAGCTTTGCTTTTCTCATCTGTAAAATGGACATAGCGATGGTACCCACATCCAAGGTGGGAGCAAGTGGGGGTGGGTGAGGGAAGGAGGGGAGATGAAGGACACTGTCTGTGGACCTGGCTGCAGTCACCACCGCTTGTCTCCCCCGGCTGACTCTCTCCTTTGCCTATAACTCCCGGGATTTGGGGCCTCATCCCATTGGGCGGCTTCCACAGCCCTTGGCTCCCAGGGTTTCCACAGAACTTCCACACAGATTTCTCCCATCGTAGCGTTTTGTGAATAGGGGCAGGCAGGGAAGGAGGTATAATATTGGAATGATGAGAGAAAACTACTACACAGTAGACCTTCTTTGTTCTGTGGTCTCTTAAATAGGGTTTAGCTTAACCCATCCAATCGATTGCCTGATTTCTCAATGGGCAACACAGAAAAAGATGGTTCCACTAGAACATCCTTGGAAAGACTGTCCTAGTTTTCATGAAGGTGCCTGGAGTCCTAGAGTGACCGCCCCACACACTCCTGGTGTGACGGGAGAATTGTGTGGGAAAACTTACGCATTTCCTCCAAGTGTGACTTTGCAGTTGTTTGAAGGTTAAAGCAGGGGCCCTTTGAACTTCTCCAGAACTTGAGGTATTCTGAAATTTTTTCTCTGGCCACCCATACATGCTTCCTGACTCTGGGCATCTAAAGCATGTCCTTTGCTCACTGTTTGGTATTTATTGTTGACTCACACTGCTGATAACACGAGTTGCAGACAGTGCTCAGATTTGAGCACTTCAGATTTGTTCTTCCTTATCGTTAGGGCCTTGCTACCTTCTGGGGTTCCACAGTCTCTGTTCCCCTCTCTGGGCAAGGCCCCTCACCCAACAGCAGCCTCCCCTACCCCAGAACGCCTTTCCTGGCTGTTCTCAAGAAAGGCCATTCAATAATTCAGTTCAGTGCACCTATCTGAAACTTTCTTCTTAGTACAATCACACGACTTGAAGGAGTGACAATATCAGGATTGTTGAGAGAGAAAGATATTTTTGTGTGTGTGTGAGTGAGGAAGAAAGTTTTGACGAAGTCTGTGCTTACAGGAATCACAAACTTGTCTTCGGAAGATGGGCCAAGGGTTGTGTATTTGTTCTTGAGACTGGTACCTGCACACAGCAAATGTACAACAATCAAATGAACAAAGGAAGAAGGAGGGGCTCCTGGGGATTTAAAGGGACTAAAAGCAGGTTCTCCACCTACAGGCAGGGCAGGAAGCTACTGCCTGGTTTTATAGGTCTATCCAACTCGCTTTTCTTTCTCCTTTAAAAGAATTAGAAAAAAAAAAACAAACCACTTTTGAAAGCACATTTTCCCCTCTTACCTGATCTCAAGTATAAAAATAAAGTTGCTTTAGGGATGACTATGAATTCATAATCCCAATATTAACAGTGTACTCTGGTGAGGTGTATGTTCCCTTCCCCCTCCCACACAACCATAAAACCAGGAGGCAGGAGAGCACTGCCAGACTCCGTTATAGACAAAGCCCTGATGGGCAGAGTTGAGAGTGGCCAGAAGAGCGATTGGAAGGGGGGTTCAGCCGCTGAGAGCCTCAGTGGGTTGGTTACCCGCTACCGTGCTGGTTGGCTGGTTTCATTTTACCTTTTGTCCACTGGCTCCCCTTTTCTCCAAATCTCAAAGCCTTTGTGACCCCCAGGTAGCCAGGACTCCTATTTCTTCCCATTGATCATTTTTTTTGGTCAACTGCCTTAGTCCTGCTTTGGATAGAGTGGGATGAGTCCTGGTAGATTCAGAATTGGGGAGAGGGCCATTTTTTCCTCCTCGTAAGAAATGGAGTGAGCCCGGGCTGGTGTGGCTCAGTGGACTGAGTCCTGGCCTGCGAACTGAAAGGTCGCAAATTCGATTCCTGGTCAGGTCGCATGCCTGGGTTGTGGGCCACATCCCCAGTTGGGGGGAGGGGGTGGTATGTGGGAGGCAATCGATTGATATTTCTCTCACACATTGATGTTTCTCTCCCTCTCTTTCTCCCTCCTTTCCCTTCTAAGAAATAAATACAATTTTTTTTTAAAGAAATGAAGTGAGAAGGAAACAAACGTGGAGCAAGGTGTGCAAATTGGTGTTCCTGATAATAAATAACCTATAAGCTCTTTGGTGGACTCTCATCTTCCTCTAAAAGATAAAAACCCTGCAGCTTGAATTGATCCACAGCAGAGAAGCTCTTTCCAATTCCCGCACTATGTGTGTCCCTTTCCGATATCCAGAAAAATGTAAAAATAGCCATGGGAATGATCAAGCAGATTTGTGTTACTACATTCCTGGGATTTTACTTTATGGGCACAGATTTTAAAATTTTCCCAACATGGTTAAGCAATGAGTACATACACACTCTGTGGATGGAATGAGTTGACTGGGTTTGGCAATAAAATGTCTGTGTCAGTCCAAGAGAGTCAAACTTTATTATTTTATTTTCTGTAAAGCCCTGTGACATCACGTTATTTCAGGATAGATCCTTGTTCTGTTTAGGTCCCCGCTTACCTGGAGCCTCTGTCAGGTGGGTGCGTCAGAACTTTCAAGTTGATTGACAGTGTCTAGGCTTCTTCTCGTCGACTCCTTTCATGCCCATCGATGTTTCTTCTCCTGTTTTCCCTCTTTTAGGCGGGGCAAGAAGCACAGCATCATCCTGAGGACACAACTCTCCGTGAGGGTCCATGCCTGTATCGGTGAGTGACATCTGTAGAAGGGGATGCTTGCCATCTGCCCTCAGTGATTAAACACATGATGGCCAATGGCACTCATGGGAATATGATCATTTTTATGCTACCCACTTGGGTTAGCCCCTCTCATTGGATTGTTAGAGTTTTTAGCGAAGCAATTTATAGCAGTAGTTTTTGAAGCCCTGCTCCACCTGGCTTCCTTCGTTTTCAGTTAGAGTATAGAGCTGGAGGTGGAACGTCGGTGATGTGGTTCTTCTTGGCGATGCTGGGGGAGATGAGGTCCTCCCCGGGCTGTGCCAAGGCGACTCTCCAGCCAGCTGAAGTGACCTCCATGTGCTTCCTGGTGGGTCTGCAAAGTTGCCTGTGGGGAAGCGAGGTCTGAGGCACCAGTTTCTGTTCAGGAGACTGAAACGGAGATCTCAGATCAGTAGGGTGTCAAACGGAGGTATCTGTGGCCCAGAATGGCTTGCCTGTGGCTGCTCAGGAACCCCATGGGGGCCATTCCTGCAGCCACTGATTTTTCTTTTTTCTGGACCCACTGGTTTCCCAACATTCAATACACAAGGATTGAATGGCAATGAAAGAATTATTTATGCAAAGTAGACAATCTCTATGTAAAGCGCTTCTAAAACTGGCTTGGTTTCCTCATGGCTTTGGGCCAAATTGAGGCAAGTATGTAATATAAAAAGAAAAGAAAGTAACTAAATTTTACTTTATGCATAGAAGTTGTTCCTGTCTGGTAATTTTGCTTTTACTTAATACACATTGTGGTCTTAATTCAGGCCTCTCATTAGGAGAGCATAAATCATCCTCTGGAGGCCCAGTCTGCACCTGGAGTGTGGTGTGCATGGGTGGAGTGGAAGGAGTCATTTCTGGTCCTTCCTCCTTCCTGCATCCCTGATGGAGACTCAGGGAAGAGGGTGAGGGAGGCGCGGATGTGGAGGGAAATCTGTGTATTCCTTCATTTGGGGTTAGGTATGGTGAAGCTGCAAGTGCCTTGAGTGACAGCTTTTGTTCTAACTCTGTGGCTAGGAATGATTGCGTAGCAGACTCAGAAACCTCAGGAGCTGGAGGGTCAAGGTGTCAGGAGGGTTTTAAACTTGTTGGAAGCAAAGTAAGGTTTACCTGTAGGATCATCGGCCAACATAACAGTTTTTGCTTCTCAACTGCCTGTAGCACTGAGTGATCATAAACCATATATGTGCACTTGATTATATTTAATTGGTTGCTTTTTTATTTTCTTCTTTCCATTTTCCCCCCAGTTATTTCATATTCATAAATCATGTCTATTTGAAGAAAAGGCCTAAGACTCTTTTGGGTAAACTTCCCCCACCCCATCCGAGAACTAGAGCAAATTCAGGCACATACGGTGCAACTGTTCAAGTTCAATATTGGCAGAAATATAGCTGATACCCAGTAGGATTTAGGGCATGAGTATAAATGGGCATTTCCCAGGAATAGCAAGGCACTGGAAAGCAGATTTACGCTAAAATGGGCTAGTTCAAAATCTTAACAAGCTAGCTCCTTTTAAGAAAATTCACCCTTTTGCAGTATGTGCTTAGCTATTTTAGTGTAGAAGTTTTTCTAATTAGCTACCATGTTATGGACTCACTGCAGGAATGTATATGTATTCTCTAGTCCCATGTAATCCACGTAAAACCCATGTCTTATCCCTGTGGCGTGCTGAGCACCTCTAGCCTGTCCAGCCTGCTCTTTCCCAGGACACAGGACACAGGACCGTCTGCTCGACGGGGTAAACTGGGTGCTTATGGACCAGTGTGTTTGTTCCCAAACCTCCTTAAGCCAATTGCACTTATTATTGGAATTTTGTCATTTAATGAAATGGTAACACGAATATTTTACAAACTGTTTAAATATGAGTATAAAAAGTCACTGCTTTGAAAATTCTTTGACTGTTTTGGAAAATATTTAAAATTAGTACAAAAGCCTTTTGTCAACATAAGTGGGTTGTGACAACAATAAAAGGTGAGAGAATGTTGTAAAAATGTAGGATTCTAGTCTTCACAAGTATCTTTATTCTTGCTTGACTTAAAAGAAACCGAGGGTGGAAATCATAGGCCATGTTATTGAAGTGGTTCACGAAAGAAGGTCCATACAGAATGCTAGGTAGTAGACCATTCCTTATTCAAGGAAAAGTCATGGGCCAAAACGGCATGAAAGCATGTTTCCTCGTGTGCTATAAACAGGGTGACCGACTGTGCCTCGTCACAGGCAAATCAGGATAGCTGGTCTCAATAGCTGCAAGTTAAAGTTTTATGGTATGTATTATTTTTAAAAGGATTTTCTGCTTTAATTAGCTTTCACCACTGATTCAGTCTGAGGATGTCAGATGAGGGTTTGACTGTGTAAGTAAACATCAGCACCCCCAAAAGGCAAAGTTTTTCCTATGTATTAAAAAATCCCCATTCCTATTATTTGCAATGTCTGGGATGGATTTATTACAGTAGCACTGCATGTTATCCTTTGGCTATGTACAGAGAATGGAATGCATCATGTGTATGAAGTACCAACATCCATTGTGACATATTCTTTCTGTTTCTAAATGGCAATACAGGGGAGATTTCTTTGGGATAAAAAAACCAAACCTGGCACAATCTTCAGTCAAAATGACAAAGGAAAACATGACAAGGGGGAAGACCAAAACCTTTCACATCAGTTGTTTGTTTCTTTTCCAGGTTATTTTCCCTCTTCACAGTATGATAAATAGTTGAGTTATTATAACATTGGGCAAAGGCTGCTGTGTGATACCTTCCATCATACGCAGCTTCCTTCCTGCCCACCTCATGGTTAGATTAAAGGATCCAAGATCAGCTTTGGCTCATGGGTTTAAAATGCTATCAAAAAAATTTCTCCAAAATAATGTTTTCCTCAGCCTGCATTCTCTTCTCCTTCACTCCTGTTTTATTAAGTGCAAGGCTGCATGTTGATGAATTGGAGGTGACACGCCTTTGGAATCCTCCAGTGTTAACTTTGGAACTCTGTACCAGTAGGGACGAGAGTGGAGTGGAGCCTCCATGATTAGCAACTGAGCAAACCTCATGCAAAATGAAGGCCACGGGGGAACTGCTTTGATGATCAGAGTTAGCAGCTGAGATAGGCCTTTTCTGATAGCGCAGTAGTTCTGAAGCACTTGGCAGGAAGTTGGAGTGAGGTTTTGGGAGCAGGGAAAGTGCCCTGTTCCCCAGTTTATTGCACCTCTATCTTCTCCTCTGTAATTTTTATTTCTTTGCACATTCTTAGTGTAATCACTAGATGTAACATATTGTGTGGCAAGCAATATGTGACTTGCCTCCTTAATCTAGCTTTAGTCCCTCCAAAAAAATGATGGTCACATCATGGGCATGAAGTTACAGATATGAAAAAAAAATCCTTTTCATAGGCGTGAGAAGTCTGTATTTTATGAGGTTAGCTAGAGAAAATAAATTTTTTGGTCCCTGCAAGTGATCCTATTTCCAGACACCAGAAGAATGTTTGGAGGGCCAACTGGCTCTGATGACTAAATCTCACCATGAAGAGAAAAGGAGCAGAAGAATTGTGGGTGAGGAATGGAACCGAGAATTAAAAAAAAAAAAAAAAAAGATTTGAAGTCATCAAGATTCTCAAGTTAATGTCTGAATGGTTTGTACTGGCTGACTTTGAAGGCATGTTGTTAGGCTTCAAGCTCCTGTGCTTCAGTTTCTGAAGCAGACCCTGTTTCCTCATTGGGAAACGAGCCCTGTTGATCGATCGTCTGGGACAGATAAGACTGACACTGTCAAGTATCCAGCAGTAGTTAAACTGAAGGATAAAATATGGGCTGAAGACTCCAAAGTGTCATTTATTCTAGTAGTTGTGAAGAACAACCTGGCACAAAGGTCTTCAGAGGCATGTGCCCAAAACTATGAGACGATGAGGTGCCCCCATGAAGGTGGAAATGAGATGGGTGAAGCGACTCATCTCTCCACGAGATTAGTGTCATTGCCCATTAAAGGTCAGGTCACAGGGAGAAGACAACTTTAAAAGGCAAGAAAACAATGCAGGAGGTGGCTGTTCATCCACTGATGCAGAAAAGTAGTCAATTTCCGGTGGAAACATCAATAGAATGCGGCGTCAATATGTCGTTTGCAAAGCATTTTCTTCTCAAAGAGCTAAATCATGCAGCTGCCTGCTTTGCAGTTATACCGTTATAGAAAAGAGGTGAATGGCCATGGGGCAGTTCTTCAAGAAGAACCTTCTGGTGCAAGGGGGCCTGAGGGAATCCATCTTAGGTGCTTATTGCCTGTTTAGAAGAGGTGGCTCCGCGGGGCACAGGGTGAAGCAGGATCCCGAGGCCATGTGCAGTCTAAATGGGAAAGATCCTGTATCCGGGTGGGCTTTCTTTGGTGGTGATGGAGGTGGTGCGTGTCTGCATGGAGTTGGTGACAGCTCAGGGGCTCGGGCTGAGGTCACATTCTGCCCAGTGTCTCAGCCACCGTGAGCTATACGGTGTGGAGCCCCCGGTCTTCCGTGTTCAGGGGGTGGGGGGTGGAGCTGCAGTCCATGACCCTGAGCTCCTCCTTCGTTCTCCAGTCTCCGTCTCGAGTTTTGTCTTTCATTTTTAAGCTCGTAAACAGGAGCATGGCTCCTCCACCCTCTCTCACCTTGCTGAGCTTTCTGACTGGGCGCAGGGCTGCTTTCTCCCTGCCCCTCTCTGCCCCCACCCCCCCGCCCCCCCGCTTTTGCATGCCCCGTCCTCTACGCTCCATGTGAACTGCTTTTGTGTGGCTGAGCTGCCCTGGCTTTGCAGGGAGGCTCCCCTTCAGCTTCCTTGGCTGGTGTTACACTTGCCCTTCTGGTGGGCTGCTGAGTGACACTGGACTTTGGACTTTGGATTCCAGTGTGATCCGTACTGTCCCTTGACTGACTATTTGGAATCTCCGTTAAAACTAGAGGTTTTCTCCTGGAAACAGCAACATGCCTTTTTGGCACTGTTGGGCCTAATAGCGCGTGGGTGGCATTTCCAGGCG